CACTGGGCCCTAAGACACTCCAGGTTGTGGATTCCACCAAGTACCTCGGCATCACTATATATAATATAACAAAATTTTCTGAAAAGTACATATCAGATTTCCCTGTTATCGTCTCAACATTTTTCGTTTTTCCTACGTCTGAGCTCATGAATATTTACACAACATTCATACTCTCTAAAGTCAGTTTTGCCTCTCCTGTTGGGTCTTATCCCTTAACCACTACACAACATGGACACCAACCGAGGGCCTTCACGACACTAGAAAGAGATGATCAGTGTATTGGCTCTCTCCACCATCTCTGATCACCTCATCTCTCAGTTTAGAACAAAGTTTCTAAGGATGATAAAATGTCACAATGTATTTTTCATGTTGGTTCCTGAAATGTTTGACTACTATATTGTTTTGCATTATTTGGGAGTCACCAGTCATTTTGTATCTGACATGAAGGTCCAAATTAGGTGATGATCATAAACACTGTCTTGACTACCTGAAGATTAGCCACCCCAGCATATCTTACCTTAAGATTAATCACCCTAACCTAACCTAACCCAACCCCAGGTAGCGCTCAGGTACTTAATCATCAGGTGAAATAAGCTGGGGAGGGTTAATCTTCAAGCGATCTCACTTTCTCGCGGAACACAGGCGACAAGGTGTGAAATTATTATCTGAAGTACAAAGAGAACTCCTTATTTACGTCTCATTTACGACAATATACGTCAGTGATCTAACGGCCGAGACATGATCAATCTCTCCCAGGAGCCACCATCTTGGTTCGCTCCACCGTGTACATGTAATTTGGGAACTTTAGGACTTACTGTCGACTTACATTTTCCTAACCGTATAGATCTGTTTTTCGACCAAATAGTAAAGATTTGAAAAAAGAAAAAAAATGAAGAGTGATTAAGGATATACTGCTTATAGAAATTGAGAGATAAATAAAGAGAAAAATCGATATATGCTGAACGGAATATATATGTGAATAACTAAGAGAAAAAATACCCGGTAAAGAATAAAAACGATTCCCGCGACCCACGATGAAAGGTTTAGTCTCTTAGGGGCTTCGCTTGGTCAAGGGTAAAGATGAGAGGTTCTTTTAAAGGCTTCAAAGGGTCCTTTCTTTTCGTGGTCGTCTGAGGAAGTTCACCTTTGGTACCTTTGTCCTCCAGTTGACCGGCAGATTAAATAATTTAGGTTCATAAACACACGAGGAAGGGAAACGAGACTAATATAATAATAACAACAACAACTACACTAATAATAATAAAACACTATGACAAAGACAGATTAACACCGGTAGTAGTAATGATGATAACATTAACAATCATAATAATACTGTACCCACTACTGCTACCATTATCTTCACGCCTGAGCAGTTGCTTCAAGTTTATAAGGGATTCATTCGTCCTAACTTGGAGTACTGCTCTCATATCTGGGATGGCTCTTCTGTTCATCTGTTAGATGGGGTGGAATCAATGGCATTTCGTCTTATTAACTCTCCTCCTTTAGTTGATAATCTTTCTTCCTTTTATCTTCGCCGGATGTCGGTCACACTAGAATAACCCGTTATAGTACAAGTACATTCTTCTTTCCTCACACAGCCAAACTGGGGAATGCTCTGCCTTCTTCCGTGTTTCCATACTCTTATAATCTGTCTCATTTTAAAAAGATGGTTTTTCCAGCATATTCGTGGTGTAGATTAATAGTCTTTTTCTCTTATATTTTCAGTTTCTTTTTACTCTTATTTTTTCGCCCCTAGGCCCCGGTGTGGGTCGGTGACCCGTGCCCAGGTGGGCTATTCCCCATAAAAAAAAAAATATGTCACCCATGTCTGTGGGTATGATGACCCCTTCCCGTAAATAACTTGAGAACGGGTTTGTGGAATAGGACTAAACTTGGCAGATTTGACCAACACATGACATGGTACACCTTTTAAACTTATGGTACAAATGATGTTATAATTAACTAGGTGTTGTTAAGGTTCACGCCAGGCATAAGACTGTCTTCAACGGTGAATCCATTAATATTTATTGTAACAGCGCCTGCTCATGTGTTGACCTCATTAGAGTTAACTGTTCTGTCTCTGCCTCGTATTTGTGCTCCTTAGGTCGACCATGAGCTAAGGCAGCATTTAATGGATGTCTAAATATAGTGCTTTTTTATATTGAATTTATTATATATGTTGTTAATAACGGAAAGTTACAGTGAGGTTTGTTAGTTATTTTGAATATTGTTGTTATTAAGTGCGTTACACCGAGACTATCTCCCCGTGGAGAGGGTTGTCAAGTACTTCTCTTGTATATTTCTTTTATTATTCGTCGAAAATTTACCTTAAAGTTTTGTCTACTTTACGGAGATGAAGTAACGATAACAGTGACACAAGGGAATAAGTAGGGAAGTAAGTTTTAGGCCTCCCATTCCTTCGTACCTGTAGCCTGGACCACCGGCTGACCACACCAACCAGCGGCTGTAACACATTTTACGTTTTATTTATTCTTAGATATAATTATCACAAAAAAATCAACACATTTAGTTTTTCTCATTCTGCTTCTTCAACACACACACACGCGCACACACACACACACACACACACACACACACACACACACGTACACACACACAGACACACGTACACACACACACACACAATGTTTCCCCGGGGTTATGACACTGAGGTGGATGGGAAGGACAAATTACACTTGCTGAAGAACGATGGCAACTGAGGTTATACTGTATAGCCAGCATTACACACACATTACTAATCGCGTGTTAAACTCTTCCGTGTGGCCAGTGTCGCTTAATTGCTGGTCTGGTCCGCTCGTTACCACCTAGGGGGCGTGGCACCCCCTAGCGAGCGACTGATTACCCTCCTCTTCTAAGGGGTGGGGAGGGGAGATGTGTTTGGCTAAGGGTTACCATTAAGGGAGGTGCTGTAATGGGGAGGAAGGAGGGAGAATAATTACAGGAGCTCTTAGGGGAGACTACAATAACGGGCTGAGTGACGACTTAATCGATGGAGGTAGACGAGGTGACTGTGGTGGCTGGTGACTGTGGTGACTGGTGACTGTGGCGGCTGGTAACTGTGGCGGCTGGTGACTGTGGCGGATGGTGACTGTGGCGGATGGTGACTGTGGCGGATGGTGACTGTGGTGACTGGTGACTGTGGCGGCTGGTGACTGTGGCGGCTGGTGACTGTGGCGGCTGGTGACCGTGGTGACCGGTGACTGTGGCGGCTGGTGACTGTGGCGGCCAGTGACTGTGGTGACTCAGTGACCGTGGCGGCCAGACTGTGGCGGCTGTAACTGTGGCGGCTGGTGACTGTGGTGACCAGACTGTGGTGGCTGGTGACTGTGGCGGCTAGTGACTGTGGCGGCTAGTGACTGTGGCGGCTGGTAAACTGTGGCGGCTGGTGACTGTGGTACTGGTGACTGTGGTGGCTGGTGACTGTGGTGACTGGTGACTGTGGTATGGTGACTGGAAGCGGCTGGTACCGTGGTGATCAGACTGTGGTGGCTGGTGACTGTGGCGGCTGGTGACTGAAGCGGCTGGTGACTGTGGTGACTGGGCGGCTGGTGACCGGTGACTGGGGCGGCTGGTGACTGAAGCGGCTGGTGACTGGTGGTGACTGGGGCACAGACTGTGGTGACTGGGGCGGCTAGTGATCAGGTGACTGGTGACTGTGGCGGCTGGTGACTGAAGTGGCTGGTGATCAGGTGACTGGTGACTGTGGCGGCTGGTGACTGAAGCAGTGCTGGTGACTGTGGTGACTGTGGCGGCTAGTGACTGTGGTATGGGTGACTGTGGTGACTGGTGACTGTGGCGGCTGGTGACTGGAAGAGGCTGGTGACTGTGGTGATTGTGGCGGCCAGTGACTGTGGTGGCTGGTGACTGTGGTGACTGGTGACTGTGGCGGCTGGGTGACTGAAGAGGCTGGTGACTGTGGTGACTGTGGCGGCTGGTGACTGTGGTGACTGGGGCGGCTAGTGACTGTGGTGACTGGTGACTCCGTGGCGGCTGGTGACTGAAGCGGCTGGTGACTGTGGTGATCAAAGTGCTGGTGACTGTGGCGGCTGGGTCATTATGGCTATATAAAACTTCTGAAAGTAGTTAATAATAATAATAATAATAATAATAATAATAATAATAATAATAATAATAATAATAATAATAATAATAATAATAATAATAATAATAATAGTAATAATAATAATAAAATTGTTCGTAGTTCAATAAAATACATCATCAAATAAAGAGTAACACAAACAGATTAAACACAAATGATAACACTTCCACAATTCATTATTAACTAATTTTGTGAAATTTTATAAAATGCCTCAGATTCAAATTTAATTAAATAGAAAATATAATTGAATTCATTACTGTAAATGGGTCAGAGATTTAGATAATTTTATTGACGTGGAACATAGGAACAGATAATTGGAGAGGATGCATGATGATTGTAGGGGTGGGTGGGTTGTTTGGAGGGGTGGGGGTTGTTTGGAGGGGGTGGGTGGGTTGTTTGGAGGGTGGGTGGGTTGTTTGGAGTGGTGGGTGGTTGTTTGATGGGTGGGTGGGTTGTTTGGAGGGCGTGGGTGGGTTGTTTGGAGGGTGTGGTGGTTGTTTGGAGGGTGGGTGGTTGTTTGTAGGGTGGGTGGGTTGTTTGGAGGGGTGGGTGGGTTGTTTGGAGGGGTGGGTGGGTTGTTTGGAGGGTGTGGGTGGGTTGTTTGGAGGGTGTGGGGTGTTGGAGGGGTGGGTGGGTTGTTTGGAGGGGGGTGGTGGGTTGTTTGGAGGGTGTGGGTGGGTTGTTTGGAGGGTGTGGGTGGGTTGTTTGGAGGGTGTGGGTGGGTTAGGTTTGGTAATATTATGTTAGGTTGAGTAACTTTACGTGAACGCCAGTGCGGTTTATCTGAAGGTAAAATAAACTGGTTTAAATCTTCAGGTGTTCCGATAAATAAACCTCAATGTATTCTATAGATGTTTACACCTTGGTCTTTCTCCCACAGGATAAGGAAATACACCACCAGAAGAAGCCTCTGCTAGACTTTGCGGTAAGATATTCGCCATGAGAGAGAGAGAGAGAGAAAGAGAGAGAGAGAGAGAGAGAGAGAGTTACACGTATGACCTCTTAAGCTAACGGTGAGGTTATTATTTCCTCCTTAGTTTCAAGTGAAGTCTTTAAAGTGAAGTCTTTCCTTTGTAATGAATGTAGTTTTAGTCACCATGATAAGAGCTTTAATAGGGATGCAGAAGCCGAGTGAGCACAGTACTTGCTGCTGTATGTAGGTTTACTGGTTTGCTCCCTGGACAGTCTCAGTTAACCCTGTTGTGAATGGGTACCTAACTATACAGCTGGAGAAATGAAGAAGGTCAAGTATAGTATCGACCAGACTGCCTGCTTGTGTACTGAAAACAGTTTTGGTCTTCATTGTTTTTACCCTCACTGCCCCTTAATGGGTCATCTGGCCTACGAGTAGTATTTCCCTTAAAAAAAAGAAAAAAAAATACGATTTAACACGATAAAAAAAAGCCTTAGTTGGCAATACATGGTAACACGTCAGCAGATGTAATCAACTGACTTCAATGTTTTCCTGAACCTTACTGAATTATATTACAGTAGAAGTTGGTCTAATAGCCTCTGTTGAAATGAGATCCTTCTCTAAGCGTTAAATAATTCATGTGAGTCATTAATGTTAACTAAATATTACTCTTAAACAATAACTCGTACTGTGTTTGACCGCCTTCACCGACTTCTAGGAGAGGACACGAGCGCTTTATCTACTCGGCCGCAGCACGCCTCAATGAATAAAGAAAAAAAATAAATAAGTAAACATATATACGAGTATAATAATCGACAGCTGATGTTTGAAGTTCTTGTCCCTGATACGTGATCGACGGAGTGTCAAGTCTAGTCCCGTATAACTAAACATCCGAGCCGTAGAACTAATTATATTACTGTTCTTTTATATTTAATAGTCTATAATCATGAGCAGAGAGGCAACATGTCCCCTCCAACCCCCCCATAAACGCTATTACGTCAAAACACTTTTGGAAGAACAAGACCACGTAGCAGTAGTTCAGTTGTGAATCCCATCAGTTAGAACAGTAATGTACTGTGTCACTTTGCTGCTGGCGCATGTCTTCTGAGCCTCAAACCAACCCTGATCCTCTGCCTGAGCCTCTAACCTACCCTGATCCGCTGCCTGAGCCTCTAACCTGCACGTGCTTTGCAGGCCTCCTAACCTACACTGATCCGCTGCCTGGGCCTCTAACCTGCCGATCCGCTGCCTGGGCCTCTAACCTACCTGATCACTGCCTGAGCCTCTCTAACCTACCTGATCCGCTGCCGGGCCTCTAACCTACACTGATCCGCTGCTAGACCTCTAACCTACACTGATCCGCTGCCTGAGCCTCCTAACCTACCTGATCCGCTGCCTGGGCCTCCTAGCCTCCTGATCCGCTGCCTGAGCCTCTAACCTACCATGATCCGCTGCCTGAGCCTCTAACCAACCCTGATCCGCTGCCTGAGCCTCTAACCTACCCTGATCCGCTGCCTGAGCTTCTAACCTACCATGATCCGCTGACTGAGCCTCTTGTCTACCCAGATCCCGCTGCCTGAGTCAACAGGTCCTTCTGCACTAACCACCCCTTGTTTGGGGACCACAAGTAGTCTATTAATTATTTTAATAAACTCTTGTCAGACAGTAAGGTTACTGCAGTACTGACTAGCTGGACTCCTTCATAATAGGCAGCTCTGGTACAGTACATGAGAAAAACTAAAAATAAAAAAAGATAAATTAATATGGGATAAAAATTTTCACAATAGTTTTCATCGGTGAACTTCGACTTAATTACACATAAATGTAATCGTTGTAAAATATAATGGGCTACAAGTAGATTACTGCTAGACGTTGACGTAATAGATTATAATTACTTCGTTATTCGTTACTTGACTGACACTTAATAATTATATACTGTATACAACCTTACCCATCTATCTGTCTGTCTGTGTCTGTCTGTCTGTGTCTGTCTGTCTATGTCTGTCTGTCTATGTCTGTCTGTCTGTGTCTGTCTGTCTGTGTCTGTCTGTCTGTGTCTGTCTGTCTGTACAGTATATAATATAATAATGTACACTACATCACGCGTTAAAGAACCTCTCACGCCTTCATCACGACGGCCTCAGAGAGTGATGAGTTTCTCAATGGAGGTAATCGCCCGCCTGATGGGGAACAGAAGATATTAAATTAAGATTTTATTTTTTAATGATGAAATTTAAGGTTAGAAGCTTCCTCATGGGGACGTATGAGATCTTAAAAAAATAACAATAATATAATTTGTCCGCGAGCCATCTGATATGAACCAAAATTTCATAGAATCTATTTTTCTCTGTACTAGTCCAGTGTCACCATACGAGAATGATGCCAGCCATAATATAAAGGCAATATCTTCTCTACTCATCTCACACAACACTGGTAAACTTACGGTATGTGTGGGTAATTGTAGTTATGTCGGCTTGTGGTTGTGAGTTTGTGTATGCGCGTATGTACAGGTGTGTAAAAAAAAAAATCACCTGTGTGCTGAGTTTCGAACCAGAGTCATCACTATTGGTAGCCAGATAACATAACCACTAGACCAGAGGCGAGAATGTTTAATGACTTACCTGTGTGTGTATATGTGTTTGTGTGTGCTATGTAATGTATGTATGTATGTATGTATGTATGTATGTATGTATGTATGTATGTATGTATGTATGTATGTATGTATGTATGTATGTATGTCTGGTCTTAACACCAAACTTTCTAACTGCCAACAAAGTACACACGCACGATACTTGTTACAACCACCACAATTAGCAGTAACATGTTGACGTACACAACTTTCACAAATAAAAATACCACCTGGATAAGGCCGTCATTCACCAACACACCTTAACCATCTTCAAGATCTCTTTAGCAAACTTTTATTTACTATTCGTCAGCTGTTTCACATCAACAATTCCTTTGAGAGCCCCCCCTCTTTGTTTACTATCGATCAGCTGTTCAATGTCAACAAAATCCCAAAGGTGTATGTGCTTATGTGCTAAAGATCAGGTAATCAACGTGTGATTTCGTTCAGCAACCTGTCCCAGACGTGTTCAGTTAACTGTTCACACGTGTCATTAAGGAAGTCTAGAGAATAAGTAAATTAATTATGGTAGTAGCAAAGCCCAGCCGCCTTGTTCTGACACACACCAGAGATGATAAAATATATGTTTCAAAGGGAAGTTCATGAAAGTTTAGAAATGTTACAAATTGGGCCGTAATAGTTAATTGCCTACGGATAATAAACCTCATTAATGGAGACGGGAGCTTGTCTTAATAGTCCATTTTTACATATAGATAAAGTATTAATGACTCTCTCTCTCTCTCTCTCTCTCTCTCTCTCTCTCTCTCTCTCTCTCTCTCTCACCCATCTTAGGTCGTGTGGCAGCTAATGGTCCCACCTCAGGCTATAATAAGAGTGATCAACACACGTCCTTCAGAACCCACATCTATAATAAAATTATTTTACCATTTTAAGACTTGTTAGTAAATTAGTCACAATCATCATTAATGTTGTTGCAATCTCTGATGAATTGGTTATAGAAAGTTTATAAAGAGATTTCCTAATTGTATTAAAACATTTATCGCTTAATGGGAACGTGTTAAAAAAAGTTGATCATAATTTCTTTTTCGTCTTTTCAGTGTATGAGAGGGGGTGTGTGAGGGAGGGTTAGGTTAGGTTAGGTTAGGTTAGGTATCTAAACCTCTCATGATAACAGCTGTCCACACACACACACACACACACACACTAACTGCCTCACATGAGCTATTGGTAATTGCTCCCACTGATGTAATAACCAAAAACCGTCTTTCACCCTCGCTACTGTCGTTTACATAACCAAAATCTTCAGTAAGTTATGATCAGGTTCCTTCATCTACCACATCCTCTCTGTCCTCCTGATTAACGATATTTCTTTCTCTAGTTTGCAATTAGTTATTTTCCGATGTGCTGGGTGGGTTAATCTCCTTGTGATGGGGTGTAATAGACCTCTAGTTATCCTCTATATTGGCCAACGTTTCTTAATGTCATGTTTTCATTTTAATGTTATGTTCTTACTTACGTCAGTTATATTAGAAACGTGACTGGGAGCTATAGGGTAAACTAGGTCAAATGATTTACCTCGTATCCTGTTATTCTTCCCTTTACTCTGAATGTTTCTCTAGACACACTGAAATCTGAGGCTCGCCATTGGCCTATTTCTTTCTCTCCTCTTAATCACTTTCTATTTCTCATTCATAGTTCTATATTTTCCATTATTATCCCATGACTCTTCTTCAGTAAAACACATGTGTTCTTATAATTCCTTCTCCCTTCTACTTTAATTATATCTATATGATAAGTTATGATTCTGTTTCATTATAGACACAACAGTCATCTATAATTCTGACTTCGTTGTTAATCAGGGAATTTACTGTTAATTGTCTGGTAATTTCAGTATAGTTTGTTAATATGCTATAATAATTTACTTTATATTATGTTACATTATAATTCAGGGGGTCTTATATCAGGGGGTCTTATATCAGGGGGTCTTATATCAGGGGGTCTTATATCAGGGGGTCTTATATCAGGGGTCTTATATCAGGGGTTTTTATCAGGGTCTTTATATCAGGGTCTTATATCAGGGTCTAGATCAGGGTCTTATATCAGGGTCTTATATCAGGGTCTTATATCAGGGGTCTTAGATCAGGGTCTTATATCAGGGCTCCAGATCAGCTCAGGGTCTTATATCAGGGGTCTTATATCAGGGGGTCTTATATCAGGGGGTCTTATATCAGGGGGTCTTATATCAGGGGGTCTAATATCAGGGGGTCTTATAGTTGTTAAATCCTCAAAAATTTCCATTGGGTCTGTCATTTGTTTGTTTCTTAAATGTTTTTGTTTAGTGTGTGAAGTGACTTGTTTTACTTGCTTAAAGGTCGTACTTGTTAAAACACATAAATATTTTAGAGTATTAACAGGGCCTTAGCCAGGATTTTCAGAGAAGGTAATTCGATAACCTACATGAATCAATACTATAACGAGAGTCCATTGAGACATCACACCTCTGACTGTACTAACACCCTAATTGGCTCTTGAGCATAGTGTAAGGACTGCACCTGGTACTCTCCCTCACACTAATAACAAATCACTCGCCTCGTGAACTGTTGCCCATTAGTATCGTCTCTTGCCTCTGTGTTGTGTTCGTGTAAGAGTTCTGAGGAAGTGAGTAATGATGGAACGATTGTAAAGTTTTCACCTCGTTCAGTAACTCTCTGGTGGTGTTGGATGCGAGTTATTGTGTCTAGTCAAGTGTTTCCTTGTCTTTGTCATTCGGTATTGCAAGAAAGCACCTGTCACACCTGACATTATAACCTGGCAATAATATACTCGATTTAGTTCTGTCAAACAGAGAAAACCTCATTAGTAATGTAGAGGTAGGGAACGAACTAGCTCACAGCGATCACAAAGAAGTGAGATTCAAGTTACCAAATATCACCATTGACTCCAATACGCTGGATAGTTTTAAACATAGGTTGGATGGACTGCTCAGTATGGGCCAATAGGCCCGCTGCAGTTTCCTCCATTCTTAAGTTCTTATGTTATCGCCTGACATTATAATATGGCACTGTCACCTCGCACGAGCACCTTGCACTGCCACCTAGCACGAGCACCTTGCACTGCCACCTAGCACGAGCACCTTGCACTGCCACCTAGCACGAGCACCTTGAACTGTCACCTTGCACTGTAACCTGGCACGAGCACCTTACACTTCCACCTAGCACTGCCATCTAGCACTGCCATCTAGCACTGCTACCTAGCACTGCTACCTAGCACTGCCTCCTAGCACTGCTACCTGGCACTGCCACCTAGTACGAACAAAAGGCAAACATAATTCCATGTACACTGCACTATCACTCATGTACACTACAATTTCACTCATGTACACCACAGTTTCACTCATGTACACTACAATTTCACTCATGTACACTGCACTATCACTCATGTACACTACAATTTCACTCATGTACACTGCTCTATCACTCATGTACACTACAGTTTCACTCATGTACACTACACTACGGGATTGTGAAGCCACCAGCCCTCTGCTATACTTATATAAACACGTAATCGTGACACCTGTTGGTACTTTGCAAAAAAAAAAAAATTCCCAGTTGGCAGATGTTGCTTCCTGTGTCCGATGTTGGGTCTCTACGTCACCATTAAGTAATTATTTTGAATATGTCATTACACTCGTTAATAAGCCTGTTAAGTTCACAGGTGTGTTCTAAAGATGTTCATTCATAGAATCACATTTTACATTAGCACATTTTCATTACACAATACCTTTACATGTACTGTATACAGACCAGTAACAGTTGCACACGCCGACATCAGTAATTGACAGTCTTCATACAAAAATAACTTATTCAGTTAGTAAAACACACATGAAAAGCTTAATGACATAAGTACATAGTTCATTAATGCTTAATAGTTACTGTATGTTCTTGGGGTAAAAGGTGACTGAAACATTCACCCGTACAGATAAGTATCTCACCAATGTTATATATTCGGCTTGATGTCACTTTTTTCCTCTCTCTCTCTCTCTCTCTCTCTCTCTCTCTCTCTCTCTCTCTTTCTCTCTCTCTCGTCATATTGATAACCCGATATACACACAGATACTCAGACTTAAATAACGTGCAAATACCCGCAAACATAATTGTAAAAATACATTGGAAGCTGAGTGAGGAGATTGGGTGGTGGGGTCTCAATATAGATTTAGTTCAGCCACCCGAGAAACTCTATAGCGGAGGAACACCAGGTTTGACTGTCTCAGCTGCTGACAAGACGAGATTGGTCCGGGGATGATACTGTAGTGTTCTGGGTAAAGAAAGATGGATAATGGGAGAGAGAGAGAGAGAGAGAGAGAGAGAGAGAGAGAGAGAGAGAGAGAGAGAGAGAGAGAGAGAGAGAGAGAGTACTGAAATAACATATATGCCGTACTTAAAAAGAATATGGGTAAAACTTGTTATCGTCGAAAACAGATGTGAATAACATTGCGACACGCTGGGATGAGATATTCACTTTAAATCACTCTATGTTTTAGTTTAATTCTTTCAATAATTTAAAGCGTTTATATGTCTTTTACTTTATAACTGATAATATAAATAGTAGTAAACACTAACGTGGCCTGTACCTATAACTTAGTTGTAAATTTCTCCAAACATTTATGTTTCTTAAGTTAAAGTTGTAAGGCGTCTTCAAGTGTAAATATGACAAATGTTGTTCAGTGAGACTGTAAATATACCGTAAGTGTTAGAAAGACATTAGATTCAAAGAGACAAATATGGGGTAGAACAGTCGGGTAGAACAGTCGGGTAGAACAGTCTGGTAGAACAGTCGGGTGTTCTGAAAAGAAAATTATTGAGGTATTTTGGGATAAGGTCGGAATTTTAAATTAATTTTTTGCCTAATTAGGTCTCACAAAATCGAAAATTACCCGTTACCAAGCTGAAATATGGTTGGTTAACTCATTTATTTCCAATTACAAAATGTGCTCGTTAAATTAACTCGATTCTAATTAAAAATGATGGCAATGTTATGTTTTTCATAAATGATCTTTAGCAAAAGTTTCTCGAGGCAGAAGGAAGATAATGCACATGAATTAACTATAGTGAGTTTTTTCCCAGTGAGAGGAGGTGCCCCCCCCCCACTCAAGAGTTACAGCTGATTCGCTGTTGTAAATCTGTCCGATTTCGTCCTGAAGTATTGATGTATTTCTAAATGAGTTTATTCATAATCGTTGGGTTGACCGTTTCTGACGAGAAAGATATTTAGCTAAATTATATAAAGATACATACATTCATTATTTCAAACATTAGCACGTAGGAAGTTTATCATAAATCTTAAACATGAATTAACTGTTAAACTCTGGTAGCAAATTCACGCTTTTGGGGGCACATTTAATATAAACTTATTTTTACCCAAATTAAGGCATACTAAGACAAATTACGTATCAGTAATACTACATTATGTAAAACTAATATTTTAAATGATCAGATCCACATTGATGTATTACACACACACACACACACACACTATATATATATATATATATATATATATATATATATATATATATATATATATATATATATATATATATATATATATATATATATATATATATATATATATATATATATATAGTGTGTGTGTGTGTCTCCAATGCCACAGAACAGGAAGAAACAAAATGCTAAAGACAAGAAAACAACCATTATAAACTTATAGGCTATATTCTATTAAGATAGGCAATCCAGATTCAGATTTGCCCCCGAGGGGGCTAGTTTATTGGGCACCCCCTTACATCCTGTGCAAGGTGGAGCGCAGAAGCGTTTACAGCGCCCAACAGGGAAGTATGAAAAGTTCATACTTGCCTTTATGACTCGTATATTAAGGGCGTAAAAGACTGAAGGGTCATAGGTTTTGTCAAGTTACATAAAGTGAGAGAATGATGAGTGTGTGGGGGGAAAGTTCCCGGTACATATTATCTGTTTATGGCAAAGAGTGGCAGGTCCCTAATAATGTCAAATGCCAGGCCTGTGACTAGGAGGAGGGATAAGATAGGCAATGCCGTGCGGCCCTGTTGTTTATACCACTTCCACGAGATAATTGTGAGTGAATCGGCTTAAGAGCAATGGCTGTTGCTGGCAGCCAGACACACACAAGGGCAACTACTAAAAATTAGCTGATATATGTAAAATATTTGTGTTTTATCCCTTAAGACTTTACATACATACATACATTATATACAAAGCATAGATATAAAGAAGATAAAACTTAATTAGATTACACAGGGCTTAACTTTATGTAAACAAAAACATTACGAGGCGTAACAAAAATGATCGTATATGAGCGAAATAAAGCATCGTACATAAAATGAACACTCTTGGACTTCCAGGCTGGTCGTGTGGGGTCGTTGCCGCCCCCTTCCCCGGACGCGCTACGCAACTTTCAGTTCCAGGGGGTGGCTGCGTCCCCCCAGGGCCCACTCCTGCACCTCCGACGCCCCCCCAACGGCCTGGACACACCCCTTGGCGGCCGCTGGCAACCCCTCGGTGAAGACGAGCAATTGTTTGACCCATTGGCCATAGAGGTATTTCTGCCATGTCCTCCAGTGTGTATAGTCTTGTGTCCCTCCCTAATTAATCGTGCGTCTGTTATCATGCTACCCGCCCTTATTTACCGTGTACCTGTCATCCTACCCTAATTTATAGTGCATCTGCTATCCTCCCCTATTTATCATATATTTGTGGCCCCCTCGTTCCTTGTCGTTTATCTGTTCTCCCATTTTGTGGTGTTGTTAATCGTTGTACTGTATATCTGGACTCTTAATGTTTACACGCATCATCATGCTTGTACAACACAGAGCCCATCCAGTTGTTGTGTTCCTACAGTTACTTGCACTAGTTACTGCCGTCTATTAAAATGTCGCTAATGTTCTTCTTGAAATTCCGTTTATTACGACTGGCTGGTTATTAATGGTCTGGATTGTTGATGTGTAATACTTAATGTGTCTCGCCTTCCTTTGTTCAGGTCTCTTTGTTACCGTTAGTGGCCCCATTATATGCTGCCACTTTACTATTTATAGGCTCTATACAAAGCAACTAAATAAGTGAAGAATATATATATACATATATATATATATATATATATATATATATATATATATATATATATATATATATATATATATATATATATATATATATATATATATGCTGATATATATATCACAGCATATACCTGGATATACAGTGATATATATATATATATATATATATATATTTTTATATATATAGTCAAGTATTTTAAACTTCCAAGGAATACAAAGTGATGATATATGTAACTAAGAAGTTAACTAGAAATTCCTCTTGTGAACAAGTTAGTGTATTCTCAGAACAATAAGCATCAGTAATTCTCATATATCAGATATGGGGAGGGTACTTAAACATGTATCAGCAGTAATTTTGTTAAGACGATACAGGTAAAATACACAAAGCTCACTTAGCCCGAGGAGTTCACACAGTCTTTTTTTGAAGGAGGGAGGAGGAGGGTAGAGAGTAACTCTGATGGGAGTGTGTTCTGGGGGGGGGGAGGGGTCGAGAAGCAAACAAAACAAAAGAATCAAGTGAAAGGGGTAAAGAAGGTTTAATAGAAGGATAATAGGTGGATGGAAGTGAGTCGTAGAAGTAGAAAAGGGTGGCGTGACTTAACACGGCTTGCACGATGACGATAAAATTCTTAGCCCAGCCACAGAGGAGGGCCGAGGGGTTGGGTTCTCTTTTGGAGGACCATCACCGCGACGAACATTGCCCGAGCACAAACACTGCCAGGAAAGCGAAGGAGGTCGAGTGCAGTGTCGGTCATACTGCTTCCTTGTGTACCGAAGGTTCAGTATACAATATACTATATCCACACTGTCCCGTACAGGCCGCCAGACCTATAAGATCCTTCAAAAACTCATTCTTTTATCAAAAGCACATAACTGTAATTTGTTTTTTAAAAGTTTTTATTAGCTGTGAATAATTTCTTTCGCCACTCTGAAAGTCTCGCAGCTTACCTATATAAATGCTTTTGTTCCCAATATAACGAGAATCTAATTGTCACACTCGTAACATTCATGTCTCTCTATATTACGGAATAGACTAATAATTCTCTGGGGACAATGTGGAACTCTGCGTGTGCACACAGCGCCGTGCACGATGGCTTTATAAATTATATTATCATCAGATAATTCACCAAACTTTTCCAGATTCCAAAAGGTTGAGCAACTTTAACTCTCCACTTCCTTGTTAGAGGAGGCGAGGCTCGGCCTGTTGCCAGGGGCGGGTCTGTGTGAAGAAGCAGTAACCAAGTTCACTTTATTAGTTTTGAAACCCACTCTCTGGTGACATCTCTTTCTATAATGCAAAACACATCAGTACATTATAACCACTTTATCCCGGAAACCCCGTTTATATAACCTAGCAAAAGTTGCTTACCATAAGCTGGTTATGCTCTAAAGGTTCTACCATTATTTTTCTTTCGAGCAGCTGCAACACACACACACACACACACACGGTTTATTGAAAAAAAAGTTCAGCAGCCCAAAGGCTGAAAATATACACTGGACAGAAATGACTTATTATATACAAAGACATGGGGTAGTTGGGTCGTTTAACAAAAGCTTTCATTACTAAAAGAAGGAACATGAATTGATCATACACATTATTATAGTTTGCAGCTGATGGCCCGGGCTGGTCTGTTGCCATACTGTGTGAGGTTATGTAGGTCTCGTGGTGCAGTAACTCGTCCTCGGGTGTTGACATGAAGGACCTCACGTGGTCATGGAGACACCAAGTGGTGTGGTGTGGTGTCACAATACCTCACTCTACTAGGTGGTACTGTGTTATCTTATGGTCAGGTGTAGAGCCGACCCACGGTTGTTCCCAGGGTGGATTGATTAACATCACCTGGTCAGAAGATGGTGGTCGGTTCCCAGGGGCGCTTATCTCTGGGTGTGGACCTCACTGGTGGGTCACGACTCTCACTGGTGCTTAAACACAGTTCATCACTGTTCAACACTGATCCCATTTCTCTCCAAAATGAAATTGTCACTTTTAGCAGGATTATGTTGATATCCCGGTGGTGAAGATGGACTTGGGGAATGAGCCAACATTGGCAGGGCAGCTGCCCCAGCAAGAGCGGGCGCCCGATAGATCTTGACCCTCCGGTGGTCAAGGACGTAGTGTGTGTGTGTGTGTGTGTGTGTGAGATTGCATAATCTTAATTCGTATACCTTGTCTTTATATCAGTACATTTAACTCCCTCTGTTTGGCCATTTTAGGTACCGGCCGTCTCGCCACGTGGGCTGCCCGTGTCATCGCTGCCACGGGCGCTGCTTGTTGTGGTGGACGCCTCCAGAAGTGAAGTGGCACGAACCCCGGTTGACCTGGGACCCCGCATGGCCCTCCTTGATGTCCTGAAAGAGGCCAAGTCAGTCTACGCTCTCAAAAATGGCCCTTATCTGCAAAACCCCTTCGCTATCAAAGGTACGGTAGCTGTACTCTGACTAGTGAGACGTTGTTTACATTATGAGCATAACGAGTCTCTATACAAGTAACATCTGGTAACCTACCCTGTAAGTGATGTTGATGAAGTCAATTTCAAATCTCATTTTATTAATTATAGTAATAAAATAGTTTTATTCTCTATATCATAAACAACTTTAAATCCAAAATTATATTTTCTTTCATGTCTGTAGGATTTCTTTTCGAATTTTTTCATATTTTCTAATAGATGAAAATTAACATCCAGTACACTCGTTTGACCAATAACGTTTATGCCTCTTCCTTCAGTCTCACCTCACCTTCCTGTACCCATCACCAGTAGCATACAGTATCGCCTCTCATAATTATGAGAAGGATGGCCATGGCCCAAGTGGCATTCCTAAACTAACTGTAGATAAATATTTTCCTAAATCACCGCAATATTGCTCAAACTCTGCAGACCCTCACTGTTCAGCATTACTCCTCGACTGGAGATCTTTCTACCCCCGTTAATATAAGCAGATCATTCTACCCTCACTAAAATAAGCAGATCCTTCTATCCCCACCAAAATAATAAAACTTTCATCTCACACATTCACCCATAATTGACGTTATGGGAAGTAACTCAAACAAATAGTTTCACTGAAATTCCACAAAAGGAGAAGTCGACCTCTGATCCACAATATTGGTATCGCGAGAGCCGTTCCAGTGCAGCTCCCTCCTCCTCCTTCCTCTCCTCCCCGAGCTCACAACTCTGAGTCATCTCTCGACAACTTTGGTGAATGGCTCCTCGTTGTCCGAGATATCTCAAAACCCTCGGACAAAGTTGGGTAACACAGCTTATTGGCTACAGCACCTGTATCTATGAGGGTACAGCACCTGTATCCATGTGCTTAAAGGCTCCCGTAACACTAAGACTCAGTAAACATGACATTTTTATTAATAAACTCGGCATATGAAATTCCTGAGAAGTCATCCCAAAACATCAATAAAGCGAAGAGCATTCCAAGATACGAATAAAACACTATTTATGAAATTCCTTGAGATAGATCTTATTCCCGGTATAAGAAAGACGCTACAGTATATATCAAATTCTCTGAAGTAAAGAGTGTGATCTAACGCTTGTTATCTGTAATGACTCACCAGAGCTTAACAGCTGAAGGTGTGCTGATTAGTCTTATTTGTTTATTATTATTATTATTATTATTATTATTATTATTATTATTATTATTATTATTATTATTATTATTATTATTATTATTATTATTATTATTATTATTATTATTATTAATATTACTGTTATTATTACTACTATTATTGTTACTATTGTTTCAGTTTTGTGTTTGGAATAATATTGAAACAATTTATGTAGCCAGAAGAATACAGATACAGAGTGGATAACAATAATAATGTTGACACGGCTGAGCCAATTGAGTTACATAATGCTCAGTATTCAGAGAATAATTTACCACATTAGTTTCTTGTGTGTGTGTGTGTGTGTGTGTTTTTGTGTGTACGTTTTTTGTATGTTTTTTTGTGTGTGTGTGTTAACACTTGTGTCAGGAAGCAAACGCCGAAGCCATTTTCGAATTGGTGTTGGCGTTCACGCGTGACGATGTAATTTACGTCGGATAAAAGGTTTCGTTGTGGCGGCCACAAGAGGGTGACACATCCTTCCAAAATTGAATGAGACATTCCCTAATAATTTCTTCACGTGCCTAAAACAAATTTTGCATTGGAAACTTATTTTCTCTTGGAATATTTTTCGGTATCATCGACTGCAAATAGTGTCTCAATGGTAATTTTTACACATCAGTATCATAATACGAAGACAAGTGGTAGGTAACAAAAATAAATAAGACTCCACCATACACATATGAATACAACTAAAACTACTCGTGTTGGATGTAATTCTCAGTCAAGATTCCCAAAGATTCCAACAATGAATATACCTCGTGAATGAAGATAAGCGAATGTACCTAACTGATAGAATGAAACAAAAACACAACGTTAACATCAGAATTACACTGAGAATCTACCTTAAGTAAATACTGTACGTTCACTTATAACAATAAGAGAACAGAATCGAGAGACTGTCATCTTAATCTCGTCTCATAATTGGTGCTAAATGAACGTATCTGGCCATCGTCTCGGTATAATTTTGTTATATTCGACCATTATTCTTACATCACCAGTTACGAAGGTTTGATAATCCATACCCTATACTTTAACGGGGGCCCCTTCTGCATTTGGCATTGTATTGAGTGCCTCCCTGGCGATTAGTTTAGCAGGAAGCGCCCGAGAGACAGGTAATGGATGTTGTGGTCGTGTGCCCCCAGGATCATTGTTCCAGCTGGGTGACGCGCCATTAGTCACAAACTCAGGTGATGATGTCCCTCATGTACACACACCGTAAACAACTCTCGTCTCCACACTAACACGTACAGTAAGTAGGAGTCAGTTGGGACCAAAGAAACGGCGATATTTATTAAGACACAGTTGTAAGTAATAGATGATTGTTACTTGTATTCAATGAAAGAAAATGAAAAGTTTAAATACACACGAGGGAAATCTTCAGCTCGATCCTGACTCTTAACTTCACTGCTGATGGAGATTCGTGATAAAATTCAGATTAATAGAGAAATAATATAAAACTAAAGCTATAGAAAATCAATTAACCTATTGACATACACAAGTAATGTCAGTGACTCTTAATATCTCGACATATTCATATTTCATCAATGATCGATCGTGTCTTTCACCAAACCAGAGATTGTGTGTTAGTTATAAAGGAGGTATTTCAGGCAATTGTTGTTAGCTGTGTTCTCAACCGCAGACAGGAAATACCCGGAGATGAACCATTATTTAATTAGAAAGTAAATAAAACACTCCTGAAGTTTTATAAAGATATATTAGCTTTATGTGTGGTTAAATCACACACACACACACACACACACACACACACACACACACACACACACTCTCTCTCTCTCTCTCTCTCTCTCTCTCTCTCTCTCTCTCTCTCTCTCTCTCTCTCTCTCTCCTCACTGGCTCTACGGATATGCCAGAGTCACATTTCCTGTCCCCTCATTGGCCAGCTTCCGTTCACCGTCTGCCAGGCATCACAAGATTGACACAGCCTTTTCAGGTGCCTTAAAGAACCCAATTTCTTTTACGATTTGGTGAATGATGGTAAAAATAAATATTTCTGAAGCAAAAGACTATAACCATATAAATGGATGTTAGTTTGATATATTGATATAAATTATTTAAAATAGACATACGGGCTATTAACTATATGTATATTAATTATGCTTCGATATATAGAGATATTTTTATAACATTAGAAAGGTTCCGCTTCCAGATATGCATAATGGTATCATACCTAGTCACAAGTGCACACAACTTTGTACTACTACTACTACTACTTTGTTGTTAATCGGAATCGAGTACGACGATCATCCAGCTATGATACAATGATATGAATTATTAAGGATGTCACCTTCTTTGGTGAGCTCTGAGGCGACTCGAGAGGCCGATACAGGATCGACAGGGTCGTCCACAGACGTTGCCTGTGTGGAGGGCTACATCTAGTGCGGGAGGGGTGGCGACACACACACACACACACACACACACACACACACACACACACACACACACACCTTTCATTAATCACATATGATAAAAAGTGCTCTCTTGTGAATCCTCACTGGCAGCTCCTCACACCACCTGTCAACCAGAAATTAATCTTTACCCAATACAAGCAGAGAGGTGAGCGGGATGGAAGGGAACGCCAGGCATTGTCTCATCTCTCGTGCTGGCGATGTGGTTTGAGAAATGGACGAACTTCAGTCATCTTCGTTTATCTTTCCGTAGCTTTCATAGATACGCCATTACACAGTGGATGGTTGAAGACAGGCACTGTTTGATCTGTCGTGCTCTCGCTGTACTTAATGGTACTTGGGTATGACTACATAACGGCCCCGCGCCTCTATCAGCTCGGGCAGTAGGTCGTCTCGAAGTCGTCACAACAATATCAACACAAACACGACTCCTCACACCTTTATCACGTAGACCACAAGTCGTCAGTTCTTTAATGGTCACTAAAATACGGAAATTATTATACACTTAATGTTTACTGGTAAAGGAGAACTACGACTTTGTGCTTCTTTATACGGGTTAGATATTCCGGTACACACTCATATATATTGTAAGCAAAATTATATAACAAAGGGTTGATATAGTAACAGAATACCGTATAGAGACAGGCTCAGAATAAATCTTGTTTTATGATTTAAATAACAAAATCTTGTATAACGACAGAACGCCTTGTATACGTATGTCAAGGTTTCAACGTAGCCAAGTCATTTGACATCTTATAATAGCACATAACACCCCTTTACCATCACTGACACCGACGCTTTTATTTATCGACACGTGAGACGTTGGGAATGTGTTCATATAATGGTCTGTGAATTGATGGTTTGTTTACGTATAATATAGGAGGGTGGGTGAGGGTGTGTAAGGAGGAGCGTGTGTAATAATAATAATAATAATAATAATAATAATAATAATAATAATAATAATAATAATAATAATAATAATAATAATAATAATAATAATAATAATAATAATAATAATAATAATAATAATAATTAGCGGTTTATTGAAAGAGCATAGCCGCCAGAAGGCTGAAAGTATACAGTTACATAATTAGGGAATGCATCACTTGATTGACAGATAATAGTTATACAAGTAACTTAAATGATACAAGCTGGGGAGGTCATACTACAGGGCATTTCAAAGTAGTAACAGTGGAAAAAGGTAAGATTGACTGGGAGTGAACACACTGGTTGACGACGAGTTGTTGATAATTTTACACTAGTTGGAACTGGGCTGTTCTTATAGCGATCAATACTTGCTCATATGGGCTGGATGCGGCTGTGGTATCGAACAGCAATTCAAGCACGAAGTTGAGAATGGTGCAGAAGTTTCTCACTAAACTTGCATATGTGGTCGTGGTGATGATCAGAGAGAGCCGAGAGGGTCAGTGTGCTGAGCTGTTCTTGATATGTGGAGTAAGAAGAGAGAATAATCTTGCATGCCCTCTTCTACTCTTTTTCTATGTGTTTACGTTGTGTGGCATTCAGGGAGAAAGACCAGGTAGGGGAGGCATAGGTGAGCGTGGGAAGTAAAAATATTGAGTAAGCGCTGCGGAGCTCGGGCGGCAATTCCGAGGGACTTGAGTCGGCGGAGGAGTTGGAGACGAAATTTTACTGACGTGTGTTTTCCAATTTAGTTTGTTATCTATAGTGGCGCCGAGGAGATCCTGAACACATACGCAGATGTGTATGCACACTTCGGTCTTGAGGAGAATGTACATAAGACTCAGATTCTCTTCCAACCTGCCCCTGGCTCAGCCACACCTCCACCATCCATCCAGCTTAACGGTACTACCCTCTCTAATGTTGACCACTTTCGGTATCTCGGCTCCCATCTGTCCACCACTGAGGACATCGACGAAGATACTCAACATAGGTTCAGATGTGCATCTCAAGCCTTTGGCAGACTCCGTCCCCGTGTTTTCAGCTGTAGGGAGCTGAAATTATCTAAAAAGTTGTACATATATCGAGCAGTGGTCCTCCCCACCCTGCTATATGGCAGCAAGATATGGGTCACATACAGGAGGCACCTCAAGGCACTCGGAAACTTTCAACCAAGGTAGCCTACGTTCCATCCTCCGAGTTCGCTGGGAAGACAAGAGAACAAATGCCAGTATTCTTGCTGACACCAATTGTAGGAACACCGAGGCTACCATTATCCATGAACAACTACGCTGGACTGGCCATGTTACCCGCATGGACAGCAGTAGACTACCAAAGAAGCTACTTTACAGTCACCTAATGAATAGCAAACGTAACGCCGGCGGGCAACTGAAAAGGTAAAAGGATAGTCTTAAGACAAACCTGAAAAATGCCAAATCATTCCCCTCACCTGGGAGGCTATCACTCCACACCGTAATGCTTGGAGGAGCATCACACACGGTGACAGTACTTTCGAGTTTGCCCGACTGCATATCGAGGCAGACAAGCCCTGGGGTAAGGTGGTAACCGGAGTAAGGTGGTAACTGGAGTAAAGTGGTCGAAGGAGTAAGGTGATCGTTGATATAAGGTGGTTGCTGGAGTAAGGTGGTCATCAAATAAGGTGGACTGAAGTTTACTGATGACCAGCGTTTCTCTCGTGGAATCAGCTAGGGGAATTCAGTCAACATCTATTAGTAATTACAATTATTATAAAATGAATGTGACCTTTCAGGTGACCTTTGATCTTGACCTTTGTTTGATGTTGATCAAAGAATTTCAGTAACCATAAATTGCCTTTGATGACTGAATATGAAACTATCGTAAAAATCGGAGCATTATTGTTGGAGGTATTGGTAGAACTTGTGATAACCTTTACTGCAGTGTTATGGTGGAGGCGCGGCGCTAGACACAGGTGGTCCCCGACATGGGTGAACATGTAGCAATGTTCGGGTAATGATGACTGTGGTAGCTTGCCATAATGGAATGAGCTGTATCAGTGACTTATAACCTTGATATTTGTCTCATCCAATATGCTCTGTCTCTTCTGGGTCTGGACCGACCAGCTGTGAAATTATCGTGGAGATGTAATGAATATCTCGAGGCCTAACAAACATATAATCTTACATACAAACATAAACACCCACGACCTGAACCTGTTAATTTACATGACAATTCTTTGATCTTTAATTAATGACGAAACAGAGGCTGACAAACACTACAACTAACACAAGTGTTGTTTTGCCTACAGCGCGGCGGATGCAGTCAGAGATGTGTCTTGGACTACAGTCTGTGGGCCACGTGAAGGCCTCGCCCACCTCGGCCATCTTCATCTCGGTTACCAGGACACGACCTCTAGAAGAGGTGAGTCAAATTCACCATTTTTTTTAAGCCCCTTAGAAGCCAATCGTCTCCAACAGCAGGTGTAGCGGATCTCTAGATCAGGTGTAGTATTTGAGGTGGTTATTATGTGACTAGATTCCCCTAGAACAGGTGAGCCGAGTACTAGAGGTCACTCAGACACGGCCTCTAGAACAGGTGAGCCGAGTACTAGAGGTCACTCAGACACGGCCTCTAGAACAGGTGAGCCGAGTACTAGAGGTCACTCAGACACGGCCTCTAGAACAGGTGAGCCGAGTACTAGAGGTCACTCAGACACAGCCTCTAGAACAGGTGAGCCGAGTACTAGAGGTCACTCAGACACGGCCTCTAGAACAGGTGAGCCGAGTACTAGCACTTTTGAAGACATGTCTAGCATAAGTGTTACTAGCAACACCTAGAAAGCCCGAGTCACTCCCTAGACACAGGCGCTTTTACTCCTAAGACACTCAGCTAGGGCAAGTGAGTTCACAATACGTAGAGGTCACTAGAGGTTAAAGTGTGAAGATACTGTTCGTCTCATAACAGTGTAGGAGGCATTACAAAGACCAGGGTAGTTGATGTTATTGTTGTCGTTATCAGTTGAAGTAGTAATTATCACTGATGATCATTGTTATCATAGTTCGTGAATGTCAGGTAAGGTGTAGAACTTATGGTGTTATTGAGGAGGCGGTGAACAATGTACTGATGTTAAGGGAACGTGGTGAACAAAGGCCGTCCGTCTGTCTTCTCTCTTGTGTGGGTGTGAGGTGGACGCCATACCCCCTTCTCTTGTTCTGTGGCTCTTAATGGCTGCTCTAAATGGGATCCTCTGTCTTCCAAAGCAATACAGGGGAACGTACGTGTTTGTTATGATTCTCTGGCGTGGGTGTGAGGTGGTGTCTGGGGAGGAGGGGAAAAGGGAGGGAGGGATTTGGATGATGTGGATATATGAGAGAGAGAGAGAGAGAGAGAGAGAGAAGGAGGAGGAGACAGGAGGAAAGGCGAGGAAGATAAAGGGACAGGGGCGTGAGAAGGAAGGAAGGAGAAGCAAGTGAGAGAAAGGGAAGGAAAGATGCAGAAGTGGAGTGAGAGGAAAAGTTAAGTCTAAAAGGGAAATATAAAAAGGCGAAGGAGGAAGTAAAGAAACAAAGGCAACAGAGTAAAGGGTGATAGATAAGTACAGAAATAGAAATAAAGAATAAATATAGGGAAGAAGAACAAAATATATATATTTTTATTTGTCACTACATCAAGCAACCGGAACTAAGACATAGGAGACTTTCCTTTATTGTCACTCACTCATTGTAACTGTTTTCTCTTCCACAACGCCTGGGCCAATTATATCCCCTGGACCTCCCCACAAGCCAGCAACACCCAATATTAGAACGTCCTTCTTCAGACATTACTCGACGTCATGTTCTCCACACACACACACACACACACAAATACACACTGCTTCTGCTGCTCCTGAATGTCGATTATACTGCCTTTACCTCATATACGAACCGTCTCCAGACCAACATAAATGCGGTTACCAACATGTGCTTCATTACATGATTTTACATTACATGATTTTAGAATATTAAAGTAACTATCCACAGGAAGATTTTGTTTAAAATATATTAGGCTGTGTTATTTCCTTCCCGTCCCATCAATTGATTGTGAGGATAGAAAATAATGATTGTACACTGAATCATGTCCTCGTTAGCACACACACACACACACACACACACACACTCTACGGCATCTCATTTGTATAATTATCGTGTTCAGTTCACAACGTCAAGCCTCGTCACTGTGGTCTGCTGTTCACTAACCATCTCATATACTCGTGTGTGTGTTAGATATACTAAACAAATTTGATTATATATTTGTTTTTCATTTCATTAAACATTAATGATAAAAAGCTCTCGTATCTCCGTCCAAGCTTGAGTTTGTCATCCTCTTTATTCATAAACATTGTAAAAGGGAAAATAAACTGAGGTGTTTTGGGATTGAATTGCGCCACTTTTTATCATTAATGTTTAATGACATGAGTAACAAATATAAAATCAAGTTTTATTATAACTAACATTTACAAGAGTGATTCTTGGAGAACAGATATAAAAACCCTTCATAGTACTCGCTTCTCTCTCAGGTAACATAACACACACCTTCCTCCAACAGGTGGTGTGGGACTCCACCTGTCTGCCTCGCGCCTCTGAGCTCCTGGTGCGCTCAGGCGACGTTATCATCCTGTCACCACGTTGATTCACCCCGCTGCCTGACGCAAGACTCAACACACCCAGCCGTGGGAGGGGTACTAAGGGAAACCTGATATATCTAGGCCATCGAGGGTAAAACACTCCAGTGGATATGATTATTTTTATCCTGTTGTATCATACATTAAGTGTTCCCCTTACAGGATAGACTGATGATGATGACTCGAGCATTTTGGTCTGTAATTTGACACACTGTTTACTTCCAGGTTTTGTAAATTGTATGACAAATTATATCATGCTTAACAGTGACTTGTTGTTTTATTACTGGATGTTTCCGACCGACCAAAAGATCACCTCAAGAGAAGCCCCTAACTTATTTCACTTAAAGATTATCCACCCTAACCTAACCCAACCAGCTCCTTTATGGTAAGAACTCAGCTACAACTTAACACAACATGTACTAAACACGCGTCAGACACTATCAATATATCGTAGTGCAAGTACTTCATCCTGAAATATTATATAATTTCTGATGTTTACACACACACACACATCTAAATCAAATGTAAGTCTGTATATTTTCAGCCACCGGCTGCAACTCTATTACTAAACCGTTTATTATTATTATTATTATTATTACACACACACACACACAGGCACACACACACACACACACACACACACACACACACGAGGATGAAGGAGATAACAAACTACTATACAGTGATTGGCTGATTCTCAATGAACAGTCCCCCAGCATGACTCCTTCTACCGTGAAGTAGTGAGTGAGAAAGAAAAGAAGTTGCTGAAAGATATGTTTAGAAAAAAAAGGAAGAAACCTTTCCCATAGACAACTCCAGGAAAAACACACTAGACGCTCGAGGTAATAGAGTAAGAGACCAACAGGAGGATATTACGGATCTTTTCCTAAACAACCTTCAGGGGTCCCGCTCTGACCACCACCGACCATCAACGGTGTCAATTCCAACTACAAGTAGGAGGCGACTTTAACTTTAGTGGGAATCAGAGGATTTCCTTGAAACAGTTCAAGAATGTTTTCCAAGTAAACATATAGCCGAACCTACCCGGGGGAATAATATACTCAATTTAGTTCTGTCAAACAGAAAACTCCTTTAGTAATGTCGATGTAAGGAACAAGCTAACGAACAGCGATCACAAGGAAGTGAGACTCAAAGTAGAATTTAATGTCAGTCGCAAGGAAAATTTCGTTAAAGTTCCAGAATTCAGAAGGGTAAACTTTGACAGGTTGAAAAGACAGCTGAGAAAAGGGGCATTACATTTGGAGGTGAACTGCATGACCTCATGAGAGGGTACACATAACATAACCTCACATAATGTGTCCACAGAGGGTGACTCAACTTTACCAAGTGATCTGACCACGATAACCTCACAAATTATGACCACTGATGCTGACCTGACCACGAGGTATGAGGTTGACGAATACATAACAATATAAATAATGAATTACTTAATCCACACGGCATCATGTACCAGATAGAAAACTCACATCAAATAACAATGACCCTAAATAGTTAAATAGTTATTTAAAGAATATTACTGAGCAAAGAAAGGCTCTTGGGAGGAGAATCAATCGTTGTGATGTTTACCTCCGAGATTATTTTAAAGTAATGGCCAGTAGGGTTGAGACCGAGATAAGAAAAACAAAGATAAATGGTGAACTAAAGGAAGCAATAGAGGTGAAGTCAAACCCCAAGGGATTCTATCAAATGTATCAAATGAAAACATGAGACAAGATTGGACCAATACAGTCAAATACCGGCGAGCTAACTGACACGTTACTTGTCGAATACCAAATTAAAGGTTTCAAATTATTCCATACCGATAGGCAGAATAGGAAAGGAGGCGGGATAGTCAGAGATAATTTGAAGTGTGAAATCAAAAAGAAATATAAACTGAACGGAATACAGAAACGATTTGGATAGAATTAACCGATGGTATGGACAAATTAATCATAGGACTAATATATAGACCCTCTAATCTAGGATAGGGTTAATGAGCAACTTATTTGGGATGAAATACGAAGATCATCTAACATATAGCCGACCTACCCGGGGTAATAATACTCGTATACAAGATTTAGTTCTGTCAAACAGAAAAAACCTCATTAGTAATGTCAAGATAGGGATCGAACTCGCTAATAGCGATCACACAGAAGTGAGAATCAAATTAGAACTTGATGTCAGTCGCAAGGAAATTTCCATTAAAGTCCCTGATTTCAGAAGGACAAACTTTGAAAGGTTGAAAAGGCAGCTGAGAGAAGGAGTGTTATGTTTGGGGGTGAATTACATGACCTCACGTGAGCTAACCTCACACAATGTACCCACAGAGGGTGACCTTACTTTACCTGGTGACCTTACAACGATATCCTCACAAAATATGACAGTTGAGGGTGATCTGCCCACGAGATCTGAGGTTAATGAGTTTCATAACAATTTAAATAACGAGTTACTTAATGCACAAAGGCAGAATATACCATATAGAAAACTCAGATCAAATAACAATACTCCCAAATGGATAAATAGTTATCTAAAACATATTATTTGACAAAGAAAGGCTATAGGCAGGAGAATAAATCGTGGTGAAGTTTACCTCCGAGATTATAATAAGGTATTGGCCGGTAGGGTTAAGACCGAGATAAGAAACACAAGGAGGAATATTATACTGAAAGCAGGAAGGGAGGCGGAGACAAACCCCAAGGGATTCTTCCAAATGTATCAAACTAAAACACGAGACAAGAAAACCACCGTAAATTTAAACACGATACCTGAGGCACCGACTATATACAGAGATAGTAAATAAAATAGATTAAGCGAGATAGTAGTGACTAGTAACGATATTATTAAACAAATAGACAAGCTAAAGCCTAATATGTCACCAGTTCCCGATGAGATATTTGCCAGAGTATTAAAGGAATGTAAGGAAGACTTTAAGTATGCCATTAGCAAATTTTTTTAACAAGTCATTAAAGTCGGGCGTAGTAACAGAACCCTGGAGGATAGCGAAGGTGATACCGATTTTCAAGATGGGAGATAGATCACTATCCTCTAACTACTGTCCAATCACATTAAAATCAATTGTAGGCAAATTGCTGAAGTAGTAATTTCAAACTATTCGAAATCACCTTGAGAAGCACAAGTTGATCAATGATTCCCAACAGGACTTCACAAGTGGGTGTGTATGTCCGACTAATCTATTGTTATCAACTGTTTCCGAAATGTTAGTAATTAAAGAAACCCAATTTAGTCAAGATGTTTGTGTTTTCCCTGGTTCTCCTCTTCGTTATTAAACTACACTTTCCACGTAACAAGTTCATTCCTGAAGTATGGATATGTCCTTTGCTTGATTTTCTCCTATTCTGTTGTTTGACTTCATCCTCCACCATTATCTGACGTTACCCTCCACTGTGTCACTTCATATTCGTCTGCTTGACTTCAACCCCCTATGTTTAACTTAATCCTACCCTGTTTGACTTCACCTCTCTGTTTGACTCCCCCTCCTTTATTTGACTTCGCCCTTCTGTTTGACTTCATCCTCCCTGACTTCATTCTCCCGTTTGACTTCATCTACCATGATCAAAGAAAGGAGGAAGGTAAGCTCTCCCCTATTTTGCCATCATTAAGCTAAGAGGAAAAAGAAATATCTACTTCCGTGGGTTTTTTTTTCATCTTTCGGTCAACCTGTTAGGGTGGGGGCGAGAGATCCTCTTGGTGGGTCGCCTTCAGTGCCTTGAGTAGGGGTCCCGAGTTATATTTTTAGTCCATATAACACGCGGACTTTGAACATATAATCAACGACCTCACCAGCCAGGACTCGAACCCTGGGACTAGGGAACGTTACCGACCATACTACAAGAACATTTGTGGTATGGTCGGTAACGTTCCCTGGTCCCATGCATTAGGTCCAGGGTTCGAGTCCTGGCTGGTGAGGTCGTTGATTTTATATATATATATATATATATATATATATATATATATATATATATATATATATATATATATATATATATATATATATATATATATATATATATATATATATATATGGTCTTTCACTTCTTTGATGATCTTTTTGGCGGCGTCCATTTAGTTGAAACGGGTTTGAGGTGCTCACATAAGACTGCGGCACATATTATACCTGTCTGTCTGTCTGTCTGTCTGTCTGCCTTTAACTCAGTTCTTCCCTCTCTTCACTCCATCCCTCTCTAAATCATTCTTCCATTCCTCTCTCCTCCCCCTAGTCCCCCATTCCTCTCTCGTACTCCTACTCCCCCCTCTCTACTCCCTCTCTCCCCCCTCCACCACTCCGTCATGTCACAACTCGTCGTCATTAGCTCCTTCTTCTGCTGACCTAATGACTACCTTCTTCTCTACTCCCTCTCTCCCCCCTCCACCACTCCGTCATGTCACAACTCGTCGTCATTAGCTCCTTCTTCTGCTGACCTAATGACTACCTTCTTTAGGGGCCTCGCTCTCATCTCACCTGCCCACGACAAGCTGCCTAATTAAGAAGTTCGTGCGAAGCGTAAACTTTCTCCTACGCAAAATTGAGTTTGGAGATACGCTTATGAGGTGATTGAGGATGTAGGCTTAATAAGAAGTAGAGAGATACAGATTTATAAATTATGAATAAATTAGGGAATATGGAGAATGAGCAAAAGATCATTAATTTCGAATATATTTTTGCGGAATTACGTCTTCTAGTTTTTATTATATGAGATTACCTGTAGATTCCATTAACATCTTCACTACTGGACGTCACTATTACTATTTGATTTAGATGATGAAATTTGACTCAACATAGAGATCCCTAGTCCTCATGGGGTTAAGACTGACTAAAATGCTTATGGCGTCAATATTCATTACTATCCATGACATGAATATTATCCACGCCCACACTACAGACACCCAACACCCACTACGGTATCTTAATGCACCCACAGAAGTACCCCCACCCACACAACACCCACACACCAACACACAACTACCCACACCGATGTATTAGCCTCTGTCAAATATATTAACAGTAACAATTATATACATGTGGGTTAATTACATTTGAAATTATATAGATTGGATCACTCAAGTTAATTAGACAATGATCAATGAATCAATGGTTATCACTTTCTTGTCACGTATCAAATGACATTCACATGACTTTCCCCACACCTCTAGGTCAAGGGCCAGATTAAAGTAACTGTCTTCTCTGCCTCAGTCCAAACCTGTATCAAGATAGATGTGTCATTAAGGGAACTCTGAGAATAAAGTCCT